GCGGCGTAGCTGGTGGCAGGTGGCCCGGAAGCGGGTGACGGTGACCACAGCGTCCCAAAGCCACCGCAGCAGCAGGGCCAGCAGCAGGGTCCCGATGGCCGCCACACCCAGGGGACCCAGCGCCACCGCCATGGCCACCGCGCCCTGGGGACAGGGCAAAGGTCAGGCGGGGGTGGCCGTGGCACCGCGGTGTCACGTGGTCCCGCAGCGGGGGTGTCATCGGGCGCATCCGGGTGGCTTTGTCGTCATGCGTGTCCTGGTGGCTTCGTCCCATCATGTGTGTCCTGGTGGCATCGTCCCCTCATGCGTGTCCTGGTGGCTTTGTCCCCTCACGTGTGTCCTGGTGGCTTTGTCCCATCATGTGTGTCCTGGTGGCATTGTCCCCTCACGCGTGTCCTTGTGGCATCGTCCCCTCACGCATGTCCTGGTGGCTTTGTCCCCTCACGTGTGTCCTGGTGGCTTTGTCCCATCATGTGTGTCCTGGTGGGTTTGTCCCTCATGCGTGTCCCGGTGGCATCGTCCCCTCACGCGTGTCCTGGTGGCTTTGTCCCCTCATGTGTCCTGGTGGCATCGTCCCCTCACGCTTGTCCTGGTGGCATCATCCCCTCACACGTGACCTGGTGGGTTTGTCCCTCATGCGTGTCCTGGTGGCATCGTCCCCTCACGTGTCCTGGTGGCATCGTCCCCTCACACATGTCCTGGTGGCTTTGTCACCCCATGTGTGACGTGTGACATGGTCCCCTGATACATGTCCTGGTGGCATCGTCCCCTCATGTGTGTCCTGGTGGGTTCACACCCTCACACATGTCCTGGTGACATCGTCCTCTGACACCTGTCCTGGTGACTTCACGCCTGACACGTGTCCTCATGTCTTCATGCCCTCACACGTGTCCTGGTGGCTTTGTCACCCCATGTGTGTTCTTGTGTCACACCCCCACCGCATGGACACACACACACGTGTGTAAGAACACACATGTGTGTAAGAACACACAAAGGTGTAAGAACATCCGTGTGCACCCCGTGCACGCCCCGTAATCCCTGTGCGCACACACAGGCACACACGCACATATGTATGCACACGCAACACACACGTGTGTGTGCACACGCAGCTCATGCACCACGTGTACATATGTACACCCCCAGTAGACACGCACATGTATACACATACACATGCATGCACACACACGCACGTGTACACATATATACATCCCCCTTGTGTGCACACACGTGTGTGTACACACACGTGTGTATTCACCCCACGCACAAGCACACCCACACACATGTTCATGCGTGTACACACCCCCCCAACATGTGCAACCACCACACACGTGTTGCAGAGCCACACCGCTGAAAGTACCCACACCACAGACACACGTGTGTCACCCTGCCACACCCCTCTGTGTGTGTGTGTGTGTGTGTCTGTGTGTCCCCTCCCCGCCCCTGTCCCCCGCCCCCGGTGACATTTGTGTCGGGTGACAAAGTCCAGCGAGGCCACGACACGGGACGCGGCGACCAGGGGCCGAATCCTGCAGCATGTTCCTGTGGCTCCTCCTGGTGCTGAGCGTCTGCGCCCAGCCCGGCACAGGTAGGCACACGCCACAACACGCCATGACACGCTATGACATGCTACAACACCCCACAACACCCCACAACATGCACGACCCCACACACCACGGGGCGCCACAACACACCGTGACGTGCCACAACATGCCGCAACACGCCACAACATACCACAACACACCATACCGCTCCGTGATATGACACAACACGCTGAAACACCCCACAACACGCCACAACATGCTACAGCACAACCCAACACACCACGGGACAATACGACACACTGTGACATGCCACAACATGCTGCAACATGCCGCAACATGCTACAACATGGCACAACACACCATACCGCTCCATGATATGACACAACACACCAAAACACCCCACAACATGCCACAACATGCACAGCACACCCCCACACACCACGGCGTGCCGCAACACACCGTGACATGCCACAACATGCCACAACACATCACAACATGCTACAACATGCCACAACACTCCACAACACCCCGCACCGCTCCATGATATGACAAAACACACCAAAACACCCCACAACACCCCACAACATGCTGCAACACGCCACAACATGCTACATCACACCCCAACACACCACGGCATGCCATAACACACCACGACATGCCACAGCATGCCACAACACCCCACAACACGCTACAACAGGCCACAACAACACCCCACCCCACTCCATGCTATGACACAACACGCTAAAACACCCCCACGACACCCCACAACACACCATGACACGTCACAACGTGCCACAACACCCCACAACACTCTACAACAGGCCACGATACATCACAACACACCCCGGTGGGCAGCCACACGCTACAACACGCCCCAACACGCCACCACACGCGTGTGGCAAACACAGTGGCTTCTCCAAGCCTTTTTTTTGAGCCAAAATATCTCCGGTTGCTTTTGCCATTTTTTGGGGGGTACTTTCACCTTTCAGGAGAAGCTTTTCCCTTTTTTGGGGCTATTTTCACACTGTTTCGGGTGCAGTCACCCCACTTCTGGGTGCCTTTGTTGTTTGGTTTTTTTTTTCGGGGTGCTTTCGCCGGGTGCTTGCAGCCTGTTCTGGGTAGCTCAGTCCTGATATTTGGGGTGTTTTCACCCTGGTTTGGGTGCGCTCACCATGTTCTGGGTGGTTTTGTCCTGCTTTGGGTTGTTTTCATCCCGTTTTGGGTGCATTCGCGCTTTTCCTGGGTGCTTGCGCCCTCCTCTGGGTGCTGTCACCCTGTTTTGGGTGTTTTCACCCTGTTGGAGGTGCTTTCACCTTCCGTTCACCCACCTCCGGGTGCTGTCACCCTGGTTTGGGTGTTTTCACCCTGTTGGAGGTGCTTCCACCTTCCGTTCACCCACCTCCGGGTGCTGTCATCCTGTTTTGGGTGTTTTTACTCTGTTGGAGGTTCTTTCACCTTCCGTTCACCCACCTCCGGGTGCTGTCACCCTGTTTTGGGTGTTTTCACCCTGTTGGAGGTGCTTTCACCTTCCGTTCACCCACCTCCGGGTGCTGTCACCCTGCCTTCCGTTCACCCACCTCCGGGTGCTGTCACCCTGTTTTGGGTGTTTTCACCCTGTTGGAGGTGCTTTCACCTTCCGTTCACCCACCTCCGGGTGCTGTCAGCCCGTTTTGGGTGCATTTGCTCCGTTTTGGGTGCTTTCACCCTTTTCCTGGGTACTTGCGCCCTCCTCTGGGTGCTTTCACATCGCTCTGGGTGCATTCCCCCAGCTTTAGGTGTTTTCACCCTGTTTTGGGTGATGCGCCCTTTTTGGGGTGCGCTTGCCCTTATATGGGTGCTTTCATCCCATGTGGGGTGCATTCACCCTGGTTTTTGGCTGAAATCACCCTGGTTTGGGCCTTTTCACCCTCTGCTGAGTGCGTTCACCCTGTTGTGGGTGCTTCCATCCTGTTTTGGGTGCATTTGCCCTATTTTGGGTCCTGTCACACTGGTTT